TAACTTGCTTTGAGAAATCAGGAGTTTGTGTCTCACCACGGCTCACGAGTAGTAGTTACTTCCCCCTCAAGGGACCTTGAGACCTTAGTCTTATCTTCCTACCTACACCCAAGGTGCTACAACCCATATGGGAATTGTGCACCTCTCTTCCTACAAGGACTACACTAGTTGCTGGTCCTCCTATTTTCTACTAGTAAAACTACTTTTTTTTGCATTTTTGACTTCACCATGGTGTTCAAAAACACCCAATTAGCCTTGAAACCTTGCATAGTCTTCAAATCTTGCTTCATTTCTTCATAATGGCTCTCAAGGTGATAAAACTCAATTTTACCAAAGTCTTGAAATTTTCTCTAAAAATTCATAAAAAATTTTAAATAAATTCTAAATAAATTCTAAAAAAATCCTATAATGTTTCTATAATACTAACATCCATATGAGGCTATATTTTCCTATCTTTGTGATTTTTTATAGTAATAAAATCAATTTAAATCTACTAAAAATCCTATTTTTTATATAATTAACTAAAAAGACATGAAGCTCTTTTTCATGCTTCTTCTAACTACTAACTAATCATTGATAGGATTTTTATAAGTAATACATGTAGATAGGAGACAATGAAGATATTGGTTTCAGTAACTAACTTTTAATACTTAATAATAAGAAAAATACTAAACTAACTAAGATAATTGCCTCTAAAATTTACTAAGACTCCATTTTTATAACTTTTCTTCTAATAACACTTTTGCAACTTATAAATACTTCTAAATCATAATAAATACTCAAATAGTAAAAAAAAAAAAAAAAAAAAAAAAAAAAACTCTCTACTCTTAACATTTGTATAATTGAATGACTTAAAACTATGTTTTTAACTAATCCACTAATTAAGATCAATTTGTGGGACTCACAGATTTGTGTCTCATATATGATTTAAATTTATTCTTAAAAATATTTAGGACCACATTAAGAGAGGATGATTAAAAAAACCAATAAAAGAAAAAAAATCCTATTTTTACAATAAGAATTAAGATGAGCTACCATCTAAGTTTTACTTTGACTAATAGTTACTTCCAAAAAAGGTTGATTGCAGGTATTCAAGCATACTTTCCATAGTTACATCATATCTTCTACATGTGCTATTTTGCAAAGAACTATCAGTTGATAAAAATCTTATATATAATAATTTTGGAATATGATTTCTATATGAATTAAATCAAAACTAATTTTGGAGCATCAAAAGATTGGCTTTAAGATACTGCAAACCAGCAAGTTTTGGCATCAACTTGTTTTTTAGAATCACCTAAATTTTAACATTGTCAAATTGCTGAGTAAAATATTTTTAAAGTGCAAAAGTTGTTAATTATGTAATTATTAGAATTTTTTTATTTTAAATAAAATAGTGCATTAAAAAATGATGAATAAGAACTTTGAATGTAAGAGTTTATATAATCACAATTGTACATCATATAAAAACAATGCAGTAATATACAAGTTATTATTAGATCATTGCAACCACTGGTATAATCTTTGAGTGTCTTTTTTCTTAAAGCACAATCTACATTATCAATATTTATTATTACATACATAATTTCTAGCAATGTTTTGGTATTTTATTACATTGACATGTCTTTTTTTACAAATGAAGCTTATAAATATAAATAAGAATTTATAATATATCATATTTGAGCTCAAGGTATCTAAGAGATGATTACAACAATAGATATGTTGCCATCAATAGCACTTTTTTTATTTTTTTATTTTATAATATTGTCATATTATATGAAAATTAAGTTAAGAATGCACTGAGCAACTAATTGTTGAAGGATTTGATCTCATCTTGAAGTTGGATTTATAAACCAAAAATAATATACAAAGTGTTAAAAAACATCTTTTTTGTAATCTTGAATAATTTAAGTAAGCATTCAATTATGCTAAATAGTCTTAATCAACCTCAAAAAAATCATTGAAAAATTCTATTTTGTTCTAATAAACTCCAAATAAATCTTAAATAATATTTAATAATTTTAAATAAATCTTAAAGAAATCATAAAAAAATCTAACCAAATCTTAGTCAATCTTAAAGAAATCTTAAATAAATTCTAATGAAATGCTAATCAAATCCTTAATAAATTCTAAAAATTATAATTAATCTTTAATCTAATTTTATTTTTTTTAAAATCCTAATAAAATACTAATTAAATCTTAAGTAAATTCTAAAAGACTTAATCAAATCCTAAATAAACTCTATGGTAGATGTAAAACCTCAAGAATTATTGCCTTGATCATAGAAATTAATTTAAATATTTTATACTTATTAATTTATTAGTTGAAAATAAGGAATTTATTTTTTGAAGATAATCAAATATAAAAATTAGAAGAAAATTCTCTTAATATGCTCAAGAATTAGTCTTCTTTTTTCAATCTTGGTGTCAACCTTGTAGCTTAAAAATTTCTTTTTTGAACCATTTACTTGTTCAAAAATATTTTATCAAAGTTAAAAACTAAGTGAAACACTATTACAAAAATATTATTTAAATCCAACCAATAAATTAGATAAAATAATAGAAACCTTCATTGACCTTTTATACCAATTTTAAAGACTCAAACTCATTTTGATTTTAAATATTTTTGATCTAATCATCTAATCAAGCTCAATTCCTTAAGAAATATTCAATGAAACTACAATTACAAAGTGAAAATTTCTCATTCGTAGATCTATTATAAAATTTACACAATGTACTAAAATTTAATATTTTTTTATTCCACTAAAATAGAGCCACCAAAAACAACCTTAACTTTGCAAAGATCTCATGAAATCAATATCCTCTCATATCTTTTAAAATCAATAGTCAAAGAAACCATATTAAGTTTGATCTCTAACAATGCACTTCAATCAACAAAAGATGCTTTCATCTATTGTTAGTGCATGGTTTTGTGTCTCAAGATTTGGTTTTGATCCTAATTTATGATTGGTCATCTCTAATTATTAATCTAAGGTTTTTCTAGATAATTTTTGTTAAAGAATAGCTTCTTTTTATTTTCACCTTATGGTATTATTTTTTCTATTTTTTCTTGTTTATGATCCTACAAAGTAAATAGAAGTTTTATTTTATTTATTTATTTATTTTATAAAAGATAACAAAAGCACATAATTTCTTTTACTACCTTCCTAAATTTCACCTATGTTTTTAAAGTTATTTGCTAGTATATTTTTAATTAAGCTCTTCTATAATTTATTTGTTTATTTATTTTTGAATAGGCATGTTACAACATGAAAATATCCTAAAAAGCAGTGCATTTAAACAAAAGACATTAGACAACAAAGGTGAAAATATACTTGTGGCAGATGCAAGAAGAAATGATACAAGCACGCAACATGCAAGGTGCCTTTAAATTGGTAGAATGAAAGCATGAGTACTGTGGCACAATTGTGTCCTGTAAAGTTCAGAATTTAGACTTAATTTAGGTTGATAAATGTTTATTCTCCTTTATTACTTGATACTGAATTGTTTTAATAGAGATGGAAGATTTGATGTTGCTGATAAGCAATGGATTGCCTCATTGAGGTGAATCCTCCAATGCTGGAAGGTTTGAATCTAGTGGGCTTAACAATGTTGTTGAATGACACATGAATGCTATCACCTTGAAGGACAAGTATTAGTAAGCTGCTGCCATGGTTGATTAGGTACTAAAACATGATTCTTCCTTGCCTCAATTATAGATCAGAAAAATTGTGAGCTTTACGTAGAGTTTTTGCTCATACAGTAATCACTTTAGTTTAGCCCACTTTACTTTTCTAACAGGTCTTTGCAAATTACAATTTGCAATTCTTTATAATTTTTACTTTCTCAAATAAACCATTGCATTATTAGAAACTAAGGACTAACAGTGTTGCTTCAAGTTTTATGTATTTTTATTTTTATTTATATTTGCTTCTATTCTCTTTTTTTCTATATTATTATTATTTTTTTCTATACATAATTCAAATCTGAAAAAAATTAATTTTTTTATTTCATATTAATCAAAGTATTAAAAAACTGACATAGGAATTTTTGGCTATGTCAATTTGAAGAGAAAGAATTATTATTATTATTATTTTAGTTTTATTACAATAACGATCTTAAAAACAAGTTTTAATTCCTTTTCAAAAATTTTCTACTTTATTAAAAATTCACATGGTTATAGTATTAAAATTTAATTTTTGATTACTTGGATGATTGTTTTGCTGTAAAGATTAAAAAATTCAAGAAGATATTTAGAATAACCATTACATTTAAGAAATTAAATTATTAATACTTTTCATAATTCTTATAATAAATATATGAATTGACATATTAAGACTCATGAAATGAGAAAAAATAAAAATTGGACCATTTTATAGTCTCTTATCACTTCATATTATATATAAAAGATGGAGCAGAATAGGTACCCAACTTGTAATTGGTGGTCATTAAACATAAAAATTAAATGGCTCCTTGCACCCAAACATTTTAATAAATCCTCAACCCTTAACCAGGTCTAATTGCTCATGAATGATTCTATGTTTTTTCCTTTAAACTCCACACCCTTAACCTTACACTCCTCTTACCAGTATTTTAGGCACTCCCAACAATTAGTTGCCCATGAGTGAGCTACTTACAAAATGTAATGCAGCTACCTGACATCTATGTCTTTAGACGAGCATGAATGACATATGAATGAAGTAAGAGAGTGATCTGGTACATGTATGAAATTGCTATCTAAAAATTAAGGCTTCCAAATGAGGGATTTTTTCACCTAGTAAAGAATCTTGACAAACTTTTGCACCATGCCTTTTAAACTATGCTTATTGATTAAAATCCCCAAATCTCTGTTTATACATCATATTGCCTAGTAAATATTTTATTGTATTATATTATTAATGAGCTGGAGATATGTGCCAGCGTGCCACCATGGGTTCACAGGGGGCGGGATCTGCAATAAGTGGGGCCAGGGCGGTATGCGGAATCTTCCACGGTGGTGGCGGTAAGGATGGAGGGAGAAAGTGGCTATGGCGTCGCGTGCTCTCGTCGTCGGAGAATCGGCATTCAGCCCTGTGAGGAGGAAGCTCGCTGCGCGTCTCGATGCTTGCTTGATTGTTGTGAGCGCCATCTCCCTCCCAGCCCTGTGCACATTGTCAACTGGATGTGGCCAGCAGCGCCGCAGAGCCGAGTTGTTGACTCATTGTTATGATGGCCTCACCTCTCAATGGACACATCAACCGAAGCCACAGTTCGGAGGAGGTGCAGGCAGGTTTAGAAGGTGGGCACATCGAGAGTCAGCCTGCGGTGGTAGTCGATGTGGAGAATCAGAATGGAGCAGACCGATCTCAGAGCGGCACAAGTGGAGCCCAACTGCAACAGGCAGAGAGTATGCCTTTACAGGAACAAGGAGCCAGAGAGCGTCTGTGGATCATGAACGACGCCCACGAGCTCTTGCGCGAAGCATACAACATGTGGACGGAGAAGGACAACCTGTTCGTCATCAGAGCCGAGAAGAAGAAGAAGCAAACCAGCTCTCTGTATAATGAAATTTATCAGTTAGTAGGGTTCTTCAGTGTCTTCCAGGGCGTGCTCCTCACTGCGGTTGCGCAATCAAACCTATTGACCTGCCACAACTGGTGGACGGCTTTTTTTCTTAGCTTACTTGCGTCTCTGGTGACCATCTGCGGAGTGATTCAAAAATTTAAGTTTATTATTGAACTAGATAATAACATGAACAGCGAAGATCTCAGTCGTAAGGTATTTCAGCTCCTTCACCTCTGCTCTACTCCGCCTTTGTCGTCTGTGTTAAGATGGATTCCTTTTCCAAAGTTGTGAATGAAATCCAGATATGAATACAATTCCTATGTCGGAGTTTCGTCTGCTTTGTCGCATTGTGCAATATTGATTTTGTAGGATTGTATCCGGTTGCGTAACTTGCTGGTGCGGAACCGAGAACAATTCTCCTTCAGGGAGCATGCGAAAGATCTGGCGGTAGGGGCTGAAAAGTCGAATTTGAGGTGGTCTGCCGTGGGTGTAGTCGTTTTACTTGCTTTGTTTTCGAGCTTATTTTTAGCTTCAATTTATAGAATACTCTGTGATTCAGGCGATCCTGTCAAAAATAGTTAGCTAGAGAAGCAAAACTATTCTATAGCTGGAAGGCAGGGTTTGGATTCTGCAGGAGGGTGGGGTTTTGGTGTGTGATAAGTTACTCCCATCTTCGTGGTCACTCACCGTGACACCTATATGGTTCATGTCCAGTCTTGCAGGTCATCGTCCTTGAAGTCAATCGCGGTCCTCTTTCTGTCAAATTACAATGTCTAATGCAGCTTTTTTCATTAGTGGACCCATTACACAATACTCTAGAGAACAGTGGTCAGGAATACTCTTAAACACTGTGCTGAAATGTTGTAGAAATGAGTACTTGAGCTTTGATGGGAAACTTCTAGATTACTTTTCCGAGATTTTTTACAATTTGCATTGGGATTCGTGTTAGCTAGACCATTTTGTTAATATCATAATGAATCTTGCACCAGGTATGTAGTGCATAGAAAGTTCTCAGATTTGTGTAGAGTTCTAAATCCGGTGTCCTCATTGTAATTGAAGCTTTGAAGGGGATGAAACTTTTGCGGTTTTCCAAGTGCTGCGTGAAATATACATTTTCGCTCTGATTGGGATGACCTTTGCTTCTGTGAGTGGGTTCGTTATTGCTTAGCATTGGAGGATGCCAGTATTCTCTTTCACATCGATACGTTTTATATCAGCTGCATTACAGTGGTTGAGTTTCTTGCAAAGACATATCAAACAAAAAACGCAAGCATTGTAGAATGTCGAGCCCTGAGATTGCACGATCATAGCTCGGTGAAAGAAGGTGAAATGCAAACGTGCGTGGCACATTCGTAGTTTAAGAGAGTGTTGATATTTGAATTTTAGTATATTCATTATATATAGTCGCAAGTGGCTTCTGGGGAACCGACGTTGATTCGGTTTATTCCCACGTAATACATCACAATAAGTTGTCAGTAGTGAGAAGATGCTTCCAGACTATGTCACAGATTGGCTCTAACGGACAAAGAAATATGTTAGCATGGACGCCATGCTCTGACTTGTATCCAGCAGCCGTAGATATATTTTCGACTACACAAACCGATCCACTCTCAAGGCGCGCCGGGAATAAGGCACCAGCAGTCTCTTTAATCGGTTTGTTTGAAACAGTGGAGCAAACGATGAATTGGGCTCCCGGAAAAACTACGTGGGAATTCTCTGTCCACGACAAGTACATTCTCATGCGTCTCCAGTGCAAGTTTGATTGACCGTGTCGTGCCCCGAATAATATGGACCGCGTGGGCGGTACGGACATTGGACTTTCAGCTCACTGAAGCAGAACACTTTGTCGACCTTAACAAGAATGACAAACTTTTATCCGGACTTCTTGAGGGCTTGCACTGTTAAGCTTCTCTCTGTTCACTCCCAGTGTGCGTCGCATCACACATGTCTTGGCAGGGATTCGCATAGCAGGTTTTAGTCGACCTTAGCTGCTCCGGCCACATCACAGTGTTAGGGACGCCGAACCTAGCCCAGGTCTGAAGAGCTTCCGGGCTCCAATATATTCTAACCTGCACCGTGCAAGCAGCTAGTGGGTGGTTTGCAGCAGACGGCAATCAAACAATCCGATCCGATGTAAGTACGCTGCGCGATTAAGATTTGACGGAGTAATTTGGTGAAGTTCTTTTATGAGAGTAGTTAGGTCGTGGAGAATTATCTTCAAAAGTCGTTTTGGTGTCGAAATGTTTTAATTCTTCCAGGTAAAGGCGCTTAAAAACATTTGAGACAGCACGTTAATCTCTCAGATATAGTTTCGGGTAAGATTGAGACGATTCCAGAAACTTAAATTCTCGGGCATTGATGCAAGGGGCCGGACATGTTGTAATGGGGGTTGGGGTAACTCGAAGGCAGGGCCGCGACGAGCTCGATGAAGCGTTGGACGAAATCAAAAACGTTCTGTGGATAATGGGCACTGAAGTTTCACATCAAAGCTGTTGCAAAGAGGCTCTTGAAGTATGGCAAGAGAAAGAGGCGTTATTCACATCCAGGAACGATAGAAGGCGGAAGCAGATCTCCTACTGCCAGACAGAGATCTACCAGCTGGTTGGGTTCTACAGTGTTTTTCAAGGAGTGTTGTTCACTGCCGTTGCGCAGTCCACCAACTTGAAATGCAACAATCGTTGGACTGTCATCCTGCTTTCAGCTCTTGCCTCCGTCGTTATCGTCATCGGAGTTTTCCTGAAACTCAAATCCATCAAGGAGTTCAAGGACCTCATCTACGACGACGAAGTCTTTCGCAGGGTACAGGTTCTGGCCTTTAAACTAGAATTCCAACCTGGGTTTTCCAGTTCGGGGGGTTGTGGATGCTTTTTTTAGAATGACCGTTGAAGAACTCCCTCAGCATCTGATAAGTCTGTGCGCGGCCCATCGTATTCTTTGTAGGTCTTGGTGAAGTGGATATTGAGGCTCAAAGAGACAGGAGAGAAGTTCGTGTTCAAAGTGGACGAACCAAGTGAAGTCTTCAAGACGACGCCATTTGAGCTTAACGCATCTTTCCTGACAGTGATCCTCGCCCTTGTATCCCTCTCTGTCGTGTTCCCCGTTACATTTGATCGTATATTGTGCAACTCTAATAAATAGCTGATGACATGCTGTGACAAGGCACACTTCGGTTCTCCGGTTCCAAGTTCTGGTTGCGCTCGCGGTTGCTGGTATCTCGTCAACATGGGGTTTTCCACGACGATTGTGAACAAAACTACCGCGCAGTTAACATTGTTCGTGGGACAAAACAGAGTTTACAGACGCGTTGGTATCCTTGAGGGTCTACCTGATGCAGATGCGGTCCCCACTGATAAAAACAAGCTTCAAGTGAAAATCAATGGCAAGAATATCACATATCAACAGATCAAACTTGTTTATTCGGAGGAGAAGAAAATCCACATCTCGTCGGACGCTTGTGTGGATTGTTCCACCATCTACGTGAAGCGAAAGCCCCATACAACGGACGAATTCACGTATGAAGTGGAACCTCCAAAACCATCTACATTTCGGGCATTGGTTTCCAACTTTTGGCATTGTTTCACTTGAATAAAGTCTCGAAATCGTGAATTTTTTCTTTCGCAAGCAACGTTAACAGTACTAGAGTGCAGTTCATGGCATGGTGTACAAGTTGTAGTAAGTGAGGGTGCCTTGATAGAGTAAATGTGTGGAAGTCTATAATCCTCATTATTCTCCAAGTTTGTTTAATTTGCAAGTGGCATTCTTCACTGTAAGAGACATTGCTCTTACAGTGAAGGTTAACTTCGATGTTGTGCACTACCAAATTTTGCATAAAGCTAAACCCCAACTATTGGGCTATTTTGAGTCACCTCGCTTCAATCTGTCGCTTGAGATTGTTCCAAGGTATTCAAGCTCAAGAACATGAACCGGAATTCGGGCCGCTTATGAATACACCTTTTTCAGTGAGCTAAGAAGTACCAAAGTTCTGTGCAATGTCTTCGACAGAAAATGACCAACTCACCCGAGGCGATCTATCTAGGTGTGTGGTGCTAGGTACTCACCCGAGGTTGAACTTGTCAATCTTGCTCTATAAGTCTGCTATTAGAAAAGTGTGAAAAGCCATTTTTGCCGCTTAGGTTCCCACTCTACGAAGCTAACTCTACCTCCCAGGCATTTGTTCCTCCAAAGGGTTTACCAAAATCGCTCTAGCAGAGCTTGTGAATCTGACTTAGCCTGTCATCACTAAAAAAGCGTCCTTCAAACCCGTCCCGCCCTTGACCAGCCAAACAACTGAAGGTGGCAGAGCTTCATCCTGGTTCGTTTGTAAGTCCCCTTCAAGCACTAAGAAAACTTCACTTTCTTGCCAGTCTTCTCATCATGTTAGCTCAGAATCTTGATTGAACAATCCAGAGGCTTGTGGTTTTTGATTTTGGGTGTGATCTTATTCTTCTCCATCCTTACTCTGAATTTGTGTTAAACATGTGTGAATCAACGGTTTCGTTCCGTGCCTGAAGGTTACTTCGCATCTAAACTACAATCAATATATCCTTGTTAAGACGTTCAGTTCATGCAGTTTGAATGTGCACTGAGGCGTCATTAATGTGTTTCTTTCTCAATTTGAGTCACAACTTAATGCCAGGCAGACAACTCTACACCGAGAATGGTGAAGAGCATTGTAACAGAAGCGTCAGCAACAGTGTCTGGAGAATCTGGAGTCATGACTTTGTCAATGCTTGCTGAAACTCAACTCTCCGATTCTGTGTGGGATGTCAACTCACGAAGTTAATGCGTGGGGAGAGATTACTGTCAACTAAATATAATGGATCCAACCAAGAACTCTGTTGATGGGTGGTGACAAAAACTGTGAGTTATTATTAGCACAATATTGTTTTCATAGTATCTGTACTGTGAACAAAATATTACATTCTTAGTATTTGCACTATGAACAAAATGTTATATTCTTAGTGTTTGTACTATGAACAAAATGTTATACTCTTAGTATTTTTACTATGAACAAAATATTATATTCCTAGTATTTGTACTATGAACAAAATATTGTCTTTCATTTGTCTTCTTCTTTTCTAACAAGATTACAACTATCTTTTTGGTCAATTACTATTAAAACCTTTATTTGTGCAAGTGTCTTGGAAAATATTAGTCTTGTATAAATATTTTAAACTTGCTTTGATTAGTCCATAATAATCAATAGACATTTGTAATATATTTTTTTTTCTTAACAAATAACATATCTATTTGTAATCTTAGATATTAAAATATTTTTTGGCTAAAATTTTATTGATGCATTCTAATCATGCTATTGATTTTAATTTGAAATAAATTTTAGATTGATTTAAAAATAAATTAATAAATTAAATAGAAATGTGTTTTTTTTGTAGTACAATTGTACAAAAATCAATGACTTAATATTAAAATTGTGATAATACCTTTTGAAGTAACTTCTTTGAATCTTTATAGACATAACTTTGATTTTATACATATCAATAGATAATTGATAGGTTGAAAACCTAGCCAAAAAATTGGCCATATGTTGTACATATTGACTACTTATGGTATAAGTTCGACATGTGGCACAAATATAGAAAGATTGGCTTATAAACTAGTTACATATCCTATAAATATGATATATATTCAAGGTCCTATTGAACATTGTCACATAGCTCCTAATTAGACAATTGTCACGGCCATAATCATGTAAGCTAATAATTACATATAGAAATAGGTAGAAGTAAGTAAAAGTAGATAAAAGTAAGTTAATTGTATAATATTTAATATAGAAGCTTCCTAGAAACTTCCTAGACGCTGTTTTGACTTCATAGGTGTCTTTAATTGACTTTTTGGATTAGAAACGTGGTCAACAAGTTGGCCATGTGCCACACATGTTGTTAGCTTGAAGATCAAGCTAACTATGTGGCCCACACGTAGAAAAACTTGCCTTGTAAGTCAAGGCATGTGTCCTACAAAGTCAACACATATTGGAGGTCCTATAGAACGTCGCCACGTAGCCCCTAGTTAGATAGTATATATAGAGACAAGAGTGAAGGCTTCTTCACTCTTGTCAACTCCTTTCTTGCTTCTAGTCCAGGTTCAAGAGTCTTTAGTTTCTTGTCTTGCGGCAATAGCAATTCCAGTTTCCTTTTAATATACCTACTTGTTTATATTTTGACTTATTATATCGAGATAGCCTTTTGGTGTATATTTTTCCTCATCGAGTCTTTGTCCCTGACAGATTGACAAGAGTACACTTACAATATCAGAGCTTTGTTTTTTCTTGAGTAAGAGTGGATTACCCCTTTCTCTTGACAAGACATAAGCGTATTAGAAGTTTGCGGATTACCCACTTCTAAACTGATATTGTTCTTAGTATCTTCTTTGTTATCAAGTCTTTCTTTTCTTTTGTCTTGAGCAATATCAAACAAATTTTTCTTCTTAGTGTCATTATGGCAGAGCTTGTTGAAATGAAGAGTGCAATGGTACAAATACAAGAGCAAATGAGGGAGATAATGCTTGCGATGCATCAATTCAATTCACCAACACAAGAAAGAACAAGAATAGCAGAAAGTGGAGATATAGAGATGATCGGAGCTGCTTCAACATCTACAACAAATCACGTTCCTTCTCCAATTGTACAACACCCTATAAGCACTAGAGAACCAAGAATTGCCTTACCTGAGAAATTTGATGGTACGAGATCAAAGTTTCGAGGGTTCATCAATCAAGTACAATTGGCAATTGAACTTCAACCACAAAGCTATCCAACTCCAGGATCACAAGTCAGGTTTATTGGCACTCTACTTTCTGGTTCTGCATTATCGTGGTTTTCGTCTTTTCTTGAACAATGAAATCCAATATTGGACAATTTGGAAGCTTTTTTGGCGGAGTTTCGATCTATGTATGGTGAACACGATGCAACTCGTGTTGCAACAAATAAGATTCGAATTCTGCAACAAGAAAATCGCTCAGTAACAGTATATGCTTTGAGTCAAGCAATCGATTTTGCGGTAAAATGTGATAATCGACTTTTTGAATTTCGATCTGAGAATCATTCACGGGAACCTCAACGTTATTACTCAATGGCAACATCAACATCTTTGCCAAACGTACATTCGGAAGTAGAAGACATGCAAATTGACGCGGTACGTTTTAAACCTCTAACTGAGCAAAAAAAGATTCGTCGTCGTCAAGAAGGATTATGTTTATATTACGGAGAACCTAAGCACACTGCTCAACATTGTCCAAAGAAACGACGCAACTATAAAATGAGGGGTACGACGGTCAAAGAAGACAACATGTCGGAAAATGGATTCGTCCAGCTACAATAGGGACCGTGGAGCTGGAACCTTGTACAATTCCTAATGAAGGTCCTATCCTCTCCTCAGAACCCTCTCCTTGTTTTATAATAGACTTATATTTAGGACCTAAGAATTACAAAGCCTCTGCTTTATTAGATTCGGGAGCCTCAGCATGTTTTTTAGATGAACAATTTGTTAAAAGTCATAAAATATCCTTTGTACAGAAACCTAAACCAGTACATGTAGAAGTCATAGATGGTCGTCCATTGTCTTCTGGAGATGTCACTCATGAAACTCATCCTATAAAAGTAACAATAGACGGTCATGATAGCTACATAGCTTTTAACATAATTAAATCCCCGTCCAATCCAGTTATTTTAGGTTTATCCTGGCTAGAAAAATATAACCCTCGAATAGATTGGAATTCGCGTAAACTTGACTTTTCCAAAAGCGTTATTAATAGTTCTACGAACCAAGTAAAAAATTATAACTCTAGTACAGTAAAACCCGTACTGATAGGTGCAAAAGCATTTATACACGTAGCAAAAGAAGGATCAACTTTTGCTATTTATGCTGCACCTATTTCTGAAAACGTAAAGACTTCAAGTGGCATTCCAAGTCAATATCAGGAGTATCAAGACGTTTTTGAGAAAAAGAATGCAGATATTCTTCCTGAGCATCGTCCATATGATTGTTCAATCGACCTCAAGGAAGGAACTCAGCCACCATTTGGACCAATTTACAGTTTATCGCAAGATGAGATGGCTGAACTCAAGACATATATTGACGAGAATTTAGCAAAGAATTTCATACGCCATTCAAAATCTCCAGCAGGAGCTCCAATTCTATTCGTAAAGAAAAAAGATGGATCTTTACGAATGTGTGTTGATTATCGAGGACTCAACAAGATCACAATCAAGAACAGGTATCCATTACCTTTGATATCAGGACTCCTTGACCAGTTGAATCAAGCTAAGATCTATACAAAAATAGATCTAAGAGGAGCATATAATCTAGTACGGATCAAAGAAGGAGATGAATGGAAGACTGCGTTTCGAACCAGGTATGGACATTTCGAATATAATGTCATGCCCTTTGGACTCACGAATGCACCAGCTGCTTTTCAACATCTCATGAATGATGTATTTCGTGAATTCTTAGACAATTTTATCGTCTGCTATCTAGACGATATCCTGATCTATTCCAAGAACGTCGAAGAACATGAAATACATGTTTGTCAAGTATTACAAAAACTTAGAGATGCAGGATTGTACGCCAAGATGGAAAAGTGTGTATTTCACACTACTGAAGTTGACTTTTTAGGATACACCATTTCAAATGATGGTCTCATGATGGATTCTAAGAAAGTCCAAACAATCGTGGATTGGAAGATTCCAAGGACGGTAAGAGATGTCCAATGTTTCTTGGGATTTGTCAATTACTATTGGATCTTCATCAAAGATTTCTCACGAGTTGTAGCTCCACTTACACGCTTAACTAGTAAAGATAAATTTCAATGGAATCAAGAAGCGGAAGCAGCATTTGAAGCCTTGAAGAC